TTCTCTTTTTCAGATCTGCTTGGGTCTATTTCATCACGATCAGACGCAAAATTTTTAAGATCATCTATAGTAGTTGATATAGCCTCCCATTTTATATGTGACAGAGACGAGTTTCCGGATTCGGGGACCAGCGTCTCACGATAAATTCTAGCACCAACTAAAAAATCCAAGAATAGGTAAAGGACGATGAAAAAATAAGAATAGGTGAAGGACGATGAAAAAATAAGAATATATATATATATGATTATTATTTAATGTGGATTACTTACTACCAAGATAATAATATTTCGACTCTTTAGTGTCTTCTCCGAGGACTTCTACTTCTAATGGTTTAATTTCCTCTTCTGATACTCCTTTGTGTTGTTCTTGTATAAGCTCTCTTATTTTATTAGAGCCAACGAGTTGCCAACTGACGAGGTACTGCAGAATCATTACCTAAAATAAAAATATTAAGAAGGAAGAATGGAAACCATTACATCGATCTACGATCGATTAAGATAAAAGTTAGTGTCTACCTTGTCACGGACACCGAGCGCATAATAATTGTCATTCACGCGTTTCAAGGGGTTGTGATCAAGATAAAAGTCTTCTTGATTTTCGATTTTATCAGTTATGATTTCGGACAACTTTTTCATCCAGTTTCTTCTTCTATGATAATTGATGATTAGAATAATTTGAATAAATGCGAATGAATGTATAAATAAAATTAATAAAAATTTCTGTGACGTAGACATAATTACACATAACATAGTTCTGCACTTACTCAGGTAAAGCCTTTAAATTTAGCAAGTTTCTCATAAAGAGACGATGTAATTTTTCAAGTAATGGACTTTCTTCATTGCTGCTTAAAGCTTCATCCAGCTCCTATTCATTAAAAGGAAAGATGCCACTTAAATCATTATTCTAATACCGATCACGAAAGAAAAAACAAACAGGTAATAATTTACTCACTTCTGGCCAGAAATAAATTTTGTTGAGAGCTTCCATGAACTTGACACAAAAGGCGATTACAAAAGCCGTTTCCGGCATGTTTTTCGGATCTGGCTGCGCTTGGCTTGTTTCTGGTGTGGAGCTTAAACCTACTTGCTCCCCCATTTTTGCTCGAAGTAAAAGAAAAAAAAAGATGATTTAAAATTCTATAAAGACATAAGTATAACTAGTAAGCAATTCGAACAAGCGTTCTGATGAT